TGCAATAGATCTATTATTATTATTTATTATTAGATCTACAATAGATATATTATTATTCACTAATAGATCTACAATAGATCTATTATTATTCACTAATAGATCTATTATTATTCACTAATAGATCTACAATAGATCTATTATTATTATTTATTATTAGATCTACAATAGATATATTATTATTCACTAATAGATCTACAATAGATCTATTATTATTCACTAATAGATCTACAATAGATCTATTATTATTCACTAATAGATCTACAATAGATATATTATTATCCACTTCTGATAATATCAATGCAAAGTGATCCATGTTATATAGTATTGGGATTGCGAGTAGGCATGTGCTTTCGAGTTATCGTTGATGGTTATATCTGATACTACAGATAAAAAAACAAAATATAGGAGCTTGTTGTAAATGACACTGAACTCGTATTACTTTTCTGTCGTGGTTGCCGAACATCATGATCCAAGGTAATGTAGTGCCTTCAATCCATATATACAGAGTGCGCTATAAAAACAATAGTCAGATCTTAGACAGACATTAGTCAGACAGGAATCTTATTCTGTTTAACCTTCAGACAACGATTCGACGTATATTCGACGATCAAACATAGGAAAGCAGTTTTGCGCAGTACAAACTACACAGTATAGTTTTTATTATCGGCCGAGTTGTTCATGACATTACATTAACATACAATCATTTAATCTTTGATAATCAATGATGCAAAGGTCAGAAATGCATTTTGTATGTAGACATGCATCGTAATCACTTTACTATCATTACCATTGGCAATTTAGTGTTATAACTTCCTGCACGTGTGTCCACACAGGTAGGCCTATATATCAGTCTTATCGCACTGATGCATATACTATTTATATGAGCAGGACATATACACAACAGAAATCAAGCATTGCCATTCTGATATTGTGTTAATGATCTCTTGCCTTAAAATAGCAAACGTCTTGATTATTGCCACGTGTGTAACTAAGGGATCGGTCACACAATATCATCTCATTAAATTCTAACTAATCTCAGACAGGAAGTTTTCCAACCAAAAAGAATATCGTGACCCTAGATACAAAGTTTCTGGCTAAGTAATCCAAAATGCCATAAGCACAGGTAATTATAAGGATAAACAGACGTAGAGTCATACCAGTAATAAATATATAAGGTGTGAAAAAAATTACCAAAAAAAAAACAATCAATCATGGAAATTTAATTTCATGCCCAAGACCTTTGAGATCCGGAGTTTGAGAGTGACTGCTGATATGACATGACTTCTTATTCCATTGGCGGATATCGCAAAAACGCTGACGTAAGAATGGTCGTCTTCCCTCGTCAGTCGGCCTGTGCTTTCTTGTACCAGAACCTAGCACGGAAGTCCTCACTGCAGGTAATGAACGCTGGTCCCGTGGGCGAGTGCACGATGGACCGTACCGCCGCATTGTGACCTATAACGACACCGATCCTCGTTCGTTACGCGGACCGACACTAGATGGCAGCACACTACAGTGACAGTATAGACCGTATATGCACCGAGTAATCGCGTCGAAGTTTAACAGACGTAACCTGCTACGCAATCTAATCAAATATCGCAAGAAACACGTGTCCTAAGCGCGACACTAACGGCGAACAATGCTAGACGAAGTCACATTGCGTGCGAATAACCAAACATCCGTGCGGCGTAATATGTTTCTATACACGCGCATAAAATCTATAAATGCGAGGGGATCTGGACGAGGTTTTAATGATGTGAACCTGCGACTGTCTTATTATAAACTATCATTGTTGCAAGCAAGCCATATAGTATAATATTATATATATATATATATATATATATATATATATATATATATATTATACTATAGTAATTAGTTTCCTATGTACGATCGGTAAATATTCCATTACGGTTATAATACAGCTGTAGTATGTAGTGTTCGATCATGACACCGACAGCGTTTCACACGGTGGCTCTTCCAAGGTCGTCTAGGGGTTACTGATGTCCGCTTATCTCCAACATGTCAACTCTCAACAAACGTGGTGAAATTATTAAAGTTAATATATCTTAATCTATGAATATCTTTATCGCCTAATATTAATTATTTTAATATAATTTAAATAATTAATTAAAATCTCTTTTCGTAGTAAAAAAAATGCAGACGCTCACCGAGAGATAGCAGCCTCTGTCTCTCTGCGTTCCTGCTGTTCCAGCAACACAAGCTTATTGTCTTCTCATCCGGAAAGAACACTGGAATAGGCAGGAGTTCGGTTTAGCGGTGGGCGAGTCAGCAGTGTCATACCGGTGCAACACAGATTGCCACGGCCACTAGATGAGTGGTGGGAAGAGACTTTGACTCCGGCCTTTATAGAGACATTTTCCTCAGCATGTACATCAGTTATTTATTATTCTGCCACACTTGTGACAGCATTACGATTGAGCTAAATCATAACTGATAGCATAGAATTTGTTTTATCGAGTAATACACTAAACACTTCCATCAAAGGAAAGAAGAATTATCGTTACAACCGATTCGAACGACAACTGTACTCGAAACTGGACGGCAAAATGAAGAGAGCATTCGTATGTTGTGAGGATGTATGAGGATTCGTTCATTATGACACGCGTAGCTCGTGCATAGTTTGACGAACACACATTTCATGACCCGAGCTGGACCTCACGTGACGCATACAGAAAACAGCATTCGCATGCTGCAAGAGGATGCATTCGTCGTCCATCGAACGCGCAGCACAGTTTACCGAACGCGCGTTTCATCGGCGGTCCTCACCGTAATCCTCTGTGTGGTTGAAGACTGCGGGCACGCGATGCGTCATCTTTCCCGTTGCTCCGGCGCCCGTGTACGCGATGAGACAGCGGCTCGTCGACAGTTCCCACAGCTTCACTAACGAGTCCTTGCCGGCCGAGAGTATGTACTGCGTGCGCAGAGACAAGAAGAGGGATTAGAAGACCGTAATGCGACGAGATTCCTGTTTTATAAGTCGAACCCCTATACGAGAGTCAATCGAGAGGGAAAGCGATATCATAGACACGTGACTGTTGCATAGAGGAGGGTGGTTTTACTTTATAAGTGTGACTCAAAGGAAATGTCAAAATCATCCTTTGTAGAGATGTGGCCATTCTATGAAGGTGGTTTAACATGGAAAAGACAAGTCTCCAACATAGACTGGACAGACAGGCGACTAACACAGGTTCAAAGGTACCTAGGAGTTTACCTTACCGTTTAGTGAAGTTGAAACATTTACATAACATAAAATTGATAACGTTATGATGATCTTAACAGACAGAAATGAAGACTAAAATCTAGAAATGCATGACATCTTACAATATTTGGCACTTCATACCTCTCATGCACTGACAGGAGCACCCCCTACCTTTCCATTGCGCGCAAACACCACAGAGCAGACTTCTGCACCGTCGTGGGCTTTCACAAAACTATTAATACTCTTGTTGGAGACAGCGTCCCAGAGTTTGATGTCGCCATCTTTTGAGCTGGTCACGTAAAGCTTTGCATCCGGACTATAACGAACCTGAGTAATGATAACGGCGATAATTAGCGAACGGTAATGAATGTGTGATGATTGTTGTCACAAACACGTCAACTTGGACCTCCCAGCTTCCCACCGTGTATTACAATTATGCATTGTTTCAGTTAGATGATAAAGCCACATGAAGGTATGATAAACATCACACACACACGAAGGCAATCTGACAAATCACGTAGAGATGAATCCAGATAATCTTAAAATCTATAAAAATAATAATTTATTAATTCCGTTAATCATTTGGGAAGAGGTTATACAGATTTCTGCCCATACTAATCAATTAATTAATCAATTAATGCGACCGATTAGTGTCACTATCTTACAGATACATATGTGATCGAACGCCGCAGCAACTTACTGCTGTGATGGGTGCCTTGTGTTGATGCTGGGGCACAGAACTTACATAGCAGGATGCCGTCTCTACGTCGTATAGTCTCACTGCAACACAACATTGTGAGACTTAACGACAAGTACTAATTAGTAATGACGTAAAGTACGTTAACGCGTAGCCGTTTCAAATTACACTTGAATTCATCTCATTGCCAACCAGAATGTCATAAATACAGGTCAAGCCTGTACGTAAAGGTCACATAAACAAAGTGTCCTTTCTAAGCAGGTATCCATTCCCTAAAAATAGTTTCATTGCAAGATTGCTACTCAAGGGAAAAGCCAACAATATCCTTCTATTTTAACTAATTTTTCTATTAGGAAACTATCTTTCTATATTAACTAATTCCAACAATATCCCTATATTCATAAACAGTTGTCCATTCTTCAGAAGTAACTGTTGCAACAGGTTTGACTGTACGACTGCACCGGTTGGTGGACGCTCTCTTTCTCTCTCTCGTCTCTCTCTTAATCTCTTCTTTTTCTCGCCCAACTAGTCTTCTGGGTTCTTCCTCTACACCTTCTTGCGATGGCAGTCCCTTTTCTCTCTGTTAACGCTTCTTTCTCTTCCCCTTTCGCTTCCCGCTAACATCTTTTCTCTCTGCTAACTCAGCTCATCTTCTCGTCTCTTCTCTCTCGTTCGTGCTCTCTCTGTCTCTCCTCTCGTCTCTCTGTCCTCTCTCTCTCTCTCTCTCTCTCTCTCGTTCTCTTGTCCCTCGCTCTCTTCCTGTCTCTGCCCATTCGTCTCTTGCTATCTATGCCGCCTTCTCTCTTCCTTTCTCTCGTGCCACCCTCTTTCTCTCTCCTCCTCTCTCTTCCTCTCTGCAGCTTTCTCTCTCTGCGCCTATATATAAATAAATTTAATAATAAATTAAAAAAAATAATCATGAATAAGACCATGTGAGGCATTTCTCGCTACTGCCATTGATATATTGTCTTGCCCTTCTTCTCTCTGGTATTACTTCCCTTGTACTTAAACTTTTCTAGCTGCAATCGCGCTGTGTTGATGCTATGCGATTTTGACTAGGCTTTTGAATCTCCCCGTGTTTGGTAATAGTACATTGGCCTTTTAAGATATTCCCGCATGACGGGGTACACCGCTGTATGTATATTGCTTTATGTATATGTAGTAGATTGCTAGTGATTATGTTGATTGATTAGATAATGCGATGGAATTCTGACGTCGCCACTAAAGCACCGTCCTAGATTGTTTTATTTAATTGCTCGTTAATGGCGGCGCACGACAATTGCAAATGGCGCTTGCACTCCCGTAAAATGTGAGTGAAGTTAGTTCATGAACTTTTGAGAACTCTCCTCGTAACCTCGTAAGTAATAGTGCTTGCAAACTCTAATAAGGTGACTATATCGAAGACGGAAATGGACCTCTAATGAACTCCGTGCGAATTGAAGTAGGAAGTCAGATTAATCCAGTTCGTATCGGTAATCGTATATTGTCGCCACGTTGTAATTTGTGGCATTGTCACCATGAATCACTTTCTGCACCACACGGCAAGGCATCTTGGACGTTTCAATAATAAATCGATGGTTACTAAATACAACTTGTGTCACGTACTGCTACTAGCCGGCTACCAGTAGCCTACCAGTACCCAGCAATTGCCAATATCTTATCTGTTTGATATAACTTCACTTCAAGACCGTCAAGTACACCGCTGCAAACACAATAGCCCGCACGCGAAATTTTTCGCCACAAACGGTATAACATAGGGGGGCGAAGAATTTAGCGCCTTCTGATTGGGTGCTGTCGAGTTTGCTTTGGCCCTTGACAAGAGAACGAAACGTCCATTTGAAACATGTTTGTTTGGGTTTATGACCGCTAGATGAAGTAAGTTTCTGATGTATTTTCCATGAAAAACGTATCTTTTCCTCAGTAATACTAACATATAATATCACTATAATTGCAATCTTTCTGGCAAATGTGTTTATATTTCATCTCGATCTTAATTTAGATGATGAGGTCTTGTGCTCGTCGTAATACTACATAATAACGCTACGTATACCGCACTCCGAATGCTTCGTCGGTGGCAGGAGGAAGGAGGCGAAGGGCTACGACAGCTACTACTAGAGTCTACGACGGTAATGAGTACCAGGGCTTACGAGCAAGTAGCTATAGAGCTATACGTACTGCGTGACATCGTTGACGTATGTACTAGTAGTCCCGTATTACTAGTCCGGTAAGTAGTCCGTAAGTAGTAGTGCCTAACGTAAGGCCTATAGTGTTTAACCCTGAGGTTCAGTGAAAACGTAAGATAATTCGGACCACGGCACGAACATAAACAGAAATTGGGCAGCTATAACTATAGAAGTATAAGTATAAGCCCTAGATCCTCAGCTCTCATTTAACTTAAGATTAAGATGAAAAATAACAGCATTTGCAGAAAGAATTGGGCAATTTATAGTAATATTATGTTATAATAATGAAGTAAAATATGTGTCTTTCATGAAAAATTCATACAGAAAACTTATACTTATCTAGGGCGGTGATAAACCAAAACAAACATTTCCAAAGGCGTTTGTTCTCTTTGTCGCTGAAGGTTTTCGTTCAGTCAAAGAAATCAAGTCCCGAAACGGCATGATATTTGGGCTTACTTCACTGCAAACCCATGTTGTTTTAAAGAAAACATAGCCTAAAAAACTACTGTTAACCTAACTTAACAGAAGTTCGGGGAAAGTTTTTTGGTAGATTAATTGGAATCTTTGGGCTAGAAGTCATGGAGGCTGACATCTTGCCAAATTCCAGCCAATCAGAAAGGCGACTAAATCGCATTCCTATGTTATACCGTTTGGGGAAAAAATTTCGCAGCCCGCACGCCATTGTGGCATGCACCAGATACACAGTAGGTTAGAGTACCTGAACCTACTGGTGTATCTGTGGCATGCACAATGGCGTTGCGGCCTATGTGTTTGCAGCGGTGTATTGCGACGGTGTTGAAGTGAAGTTATATCAAAGCATTAAGACTATTGCTGGTACTGGTAGCGCCTACTGGTAGGGCTAGTAGTAGTAGCTGACCAAGTTGTATTTATTAACCATCTTTTAATTATTGAAAACCGGCCAAGTGCCTGTGTTCTGCCCTGGGACAGGTGGCGAGGCATCTGGATTGAACGTTTCATCTCATAATAATTTTCATTGATTTGAGTACCTCCAGCATTTAATTCTGGGCTAATCTTATGTAATTTGATCCCTATATTTGAGCAATTTCCGCCACGTGGTCGGAAGCAATATTTTCAGTAAGCTTGGGGATGCGTCACATTTCCTCCAGTCTTCAATGGACTCCCCTTTATTTATAGTAATGCTACCCACGGGCCGTGGAGGGAGGTGCACGCTACGCACGTGGCTGAGCACTAGTGTTGGGAATAGTTTTTAGGATTCGTTAGGGTCAGGTTCTTAGGGTAGGGTTAGGATTAGGGTTTTTAGGGATTATGGGTTGTTTGGCATCATTATATCTGTCCCCAGGCACCAATAGATTAATTTTTTGTGGATTACAATGCTATATATCAGGCGCGGGCGACACATTATATATTTAGTGTGAAGGTTAGCGGTGGCGTGTTGAAGTGGAGGGTTAACCGTTAGGTAAACGTTTTGAACGGTCATCGTCACATTAATCACGTGACCTCCCTCCACGCCCGTGGGAATAGGCAACAACCCTTATTATACCATGCGTCTAAACAGAGGAATTGTTCCGACCGGCTTTGTGCATTGGAGGAGTAAAAATAGACCCCTGCCACGTCCCGGCATCGCCGCTATGCTATGACCGGTAGGCACGTGTACTTAACTATCATATGGAGCGAACATCATGCGAGCGAAAATGTTTATAAATTGTACTAGCTCATTATCGATGCTCCTTAGCCCCTTTAAAATCGGCTGTGAATTTTGAGTGCTATTGAAGGCGCGATTAGTCTAATTACTTAGCAAATTGCATGCAGCGGCTATGCCCGTGAAAGGAAACGTGCACACTTCTAATTTTATCCTCCAAAAATGGAAAAGTGGGCGATCTGTCTATTTTATGCGCTCAATCACAGGTCGGAGGCAATCTCTGTTTAGACGGCATGTTTTAATTTATACGTTGTGGGCTACGCGTACCGAACCGCGGTTGCCCTCAGCAAGGCTACTTGGAAACGTCTTAATAAAAAGAAATGTAAACACGAAATGTATTTACTACCAAAGTCTCTAATGTTTGCTTCTTCTCTACGCAATTTTGGCCTATTGTTGCCGATAAATTGCCCCGTAAGATGCCGTCAGAATGCTCATCTGCAAACAGCACACGTACACCGCACGGCGCCGAGGTCCGCCCTGTGCATAAAAGAACAACGATGAATAAGAGAAGCAGGTAGGGGCAAGCCGTGATCGCAAAATTCGCTCGACGCTAGTCGCTTCCAATTTCACACGACTAGCAGAAGAAAACACAACCAAACAAGCCTCGCATCTTCGGTATCTATCTCAGGTTTTCTCCCCAGGATGAAGATTCAAACGAGGGAGGGGGGGGGAAAACTAGGGGGTCCGGGGGGGAAGCGTTATTTTTACTGTACGCAATAATTAAAATGCGTAAAATCGTGCACCACACCAATAGACAGCATTTGGGGTTCTTGTATATATATAAGAATAGCCGAGTCGGTGTACAGTTAGTGGTTGGGTGTGGGACAGGTTGACTGTTTTGTAGCTTGTGTATTGTCTGCAGTGCTGCGTGGGCACAAGTAAAAATACACGCGCCGGTGTCCTGGTCGAATGGGAATTCTTGACAGATCGATTCCCAATCGCTGGCAAACAATTTTATTGTGGTGGGAATTTAATCGGGGCGTGAGTGTAATTTAAAACGGTGCTTGCGGCAATCGTAGGGAGAACCCTGCTATCTGTAGCTAAATATTACTTGTTGAATTATTACTCTGTCCCTTTTGTTGCTACTAGTTTTGCTGCCGCGCCATAGAGATATTCGTGAATCCTGGCAGGAAATGTTCTCGTCCGTGAAATGTAAAGAGGAACGTATTAATATCATCTTAAAATCCTAACGGCGCTAAACTTTCGATGATCTGTAGTA